TTTATTGTAAACAATAGATATAGATAGAATTATTGCAACCACAAAATGATTCTCACTTTGCAACTATTTTATAGTCTCGATAATAATTTCATTACAGCCATTTTACTATTATTGAAGTAAATGGTCGCTACTAATGGGCATTCTGGTATTATTTTGCAACTTTTCACCTATATATTGAGTATATAATTAGTCGCAATAAAGACTAGTGAGCTTACTAGTAATGTTTGCTTTTGTCTGATGTGAACCAAGAAAACGAGCCACACACCACTACATCTAGAACTAGTCGTAGTTTAGAGATTGTCAGTAATACAATTGTTTATAATAATCCTGTCAGATGACAAAGGAGGAATATACTTGGGTGAGTGACTAATAATGTGACTAAAGATGACCATTCGTCCCTTAGTGCAAGCTTATTATATGGATATCACATCGTCGTAGCATTGCAGTATTATTTGTTTAACCCCATCCTCTTCATTTGGAGTCCTCTGTCTATTTTTACCACACAAGTTTAGATATGCTTTATCGTAATATATAAGTTGCAAACTATTCTGAATATTAACACCTAAAATAATTTGGTCCCTTTGAAATATTTCTAAATCAAGAATCTCTAAAACGGCAACAGATATCCCATCTTCAATTGTTATTCCCCAATCAGTCATCAATTCAACATTATTTACAAACAGCAAATTTGCCTGCTTGATGAATATTAGACTGTTCTGCGTATGGTACGTGATTCGATGTTTATAACGAATTTCAAAATCGATTATTGTTGGATGGAATGGAAATATGGCTACCACCGTATGCGTTGAATCGCTTAGTATCGCCGTTAGATCGGACGATTTCGTGGTTTTCAAAAACCTTATGATTCTTAATATCGGCGCCTTTTTAATGGATGAGGGACTTACAAAGTTTTTTTTTATTAACGGGTTTGTATAATTAACATTTTTGTTGATTTGCCCTGTGATTGACTCTAGTAACCAGCTTTCATGCAATACTAATGGATACTTTATATTTGCATTCATCTACTAAGAATATGTCATTTTTGGTTTGGCAAAAACTGTTAAGCGCGTTAATTCAAACTATACAGAACTATTTACATGAACGATTTTTCAAACGATTTCTTCATCGCTGCTAACTCTTCTTTTTTTTTTGCCGTTTTTAATAGATAATCTTTGCATTCGCTTAGCTTCACGCTTTTCGCGTTGCTTTCTCAATTCCTTTTCTCTTTTATCATTCAATTCTTCATTCAAATCATCGTCAGTTTGGAATATTTCTAAGATTTCTCTGTATTTGTCTTTTTGCAAATGCAAGTTATTGAACCTTATATTCATCATGTCGAACGCAAAGCATATCTGTAGGTCTTCAAATTCTTTTGTAGGTCTTCTATTTGACTTCTCAGCAACAAAAATATTTGGCGTAGATCCGTACCTAAGTAAATAGTCTTTCAAATTACTAGAAAGTTTAATTAGCTCATTATTCTCAATAAGCAAATTTGCTTTATTTGAGTATCTTGTACTGAAATGAGTTAATATTACTTTAGCACAATTCATTAATTTTGATACTGTGATTGCTTCTATCATAGTTGAATGTTTTTTGGAAATAGCTTCTTCAATCAATTCATGATCTAAAGAAGATTCGTGTATCAATAAATCACTCCCATAACCAATGTCAACAAACTTTGGGTTTGGTCTTGTATCCCCCGAGTAGGAAACTTTAAAGGATTCCTCAGAGGGCAATGCAAAATCAATACTTATAGAATATGACCAATAGCAATGAATTGCTCTCACAGTTTGAATATAATTTATTCCTAAGCTCTTGAACAAATCATTGATCAAGGCGTGGTTCTTAGGCGCCAATTGCTCTCTAGGTATGACCTGGTTGAACTCATTATTGTCAAACTTTCTTTCAAATTCATCGATAGAAACTTGCTGAAATTGAGGTTGTCTATCTTTTACGAAATCTTCACAACTCAAATAGACAATTCTATTCAAATCAATTTTATTATAACTTTGTTCCTTTAAAGAATACCATTCTTTTATGAAGTTATTATATTGCCATGGAATAATCAAATAAAGCTTTTTTTCGGAATCAGTATTAACTTCAAACCATTTATTAATTATTGATATGATTCCTAAATGGTGGTCAGCATGTAGATGACTTAGATGAATTAAACACAACTCTTCGAAAATTTTGATCAATTGCTCCTGATTGTTGTGACCAAAATTTCTTATCATAGTTCCTAGAGTATTTTCTCCTCCATCTAACATGATTGTTCTAAACTTGACGGTATTATTATCGATGTATGGTATTCTCACTAATGTTGAGATAACATTGCGATGAATAGACGGTAATGCGGAACCAGTGCCTAGGGTCACTACTTGAACTTGATCTTTCATTGATCCTGGTACTTGGTCTAATGATATAGGTTTACTTTCTAAAATGTCCATCTTGTTAACATGTTTTATATCCAATGGTAGAATGTTTGAATCATACAACGACGACCAAGTGTCATTAGAAATTAAAGAAGCATCAGCTTTAATAGATGAAGTTTCGATATGGAATTGTTGTAATTGTTGAAGCTTATGAATGGCCTTATCACCCTCTAAAGGCTTATAGGATTCAATATATGGCAAATTGAAATTATCTTTTTGTAAACATTTCAATTTTAATAAATTAATGGCTGAAGTCTTAAAAACCAATGTATCATCGGATAATTTTGAGTGACTTATAACATGCTTACAATTATCTGGGAAGCTTTTAATAAAATTCAAATATTCAGACAGATTAAAGTCAATATCATCCCCTAAGAAATGATAAACAAGACCAATATCTTCTTGGCCGATATTTTCATTCTTTTGAAACCATTCTTCACAACTGAGAGTGTTCGATAAATAAGATGCATTTGGAATATCAAGAATCAATAATTTCAGAAACAGTTTAGATTCTTCGATAACCTGATGTGGATGAACAGTCTCACCCTTGTCATTTATTATCTCATGTCCTTGAGTTAACTTACGGAAATCGATACCTGGTTTAATTCCTAAACTTTTGGCTTTTACTGGATCAAACTTCCCTCTTATTGGGAGGAATCTAATAAGATAATTTAAAGAGGGTTGTTGATAAGTTGGAAGAAGATTAAACGGGTTTGGGAGTCTGACATGAGTTTGGATTTCAGTCTCACTAGGGTCGGATTTATAAGAAGTTGGATCAGGATCATTCACCTTACTTGTATCCATGGGAAACATCAACGAAATGAGCTTTTTGAGTTGTTGATGTAATGTGTTAGATACGTCTTCATTTATGCTAGTGGTTCTATTGCTTTCAATTTTAACTGGCTTGATAATTAAATTACTATCAGCAATTATATCATGTTCGTTACTATCATTGATTTTTAATTCAACACCTTTTCTGAAAACAAAATACCTCCAAGTAGCAACGATGAAAGATGTTATCTTACCCGAATTTGTAAAAATATCAATACTTTTCTTTGTAGAATCACTAATAGTTAAGAACAAACCCGGAAGTCCACCAATCTCCGACCACGAAGATATAGTTCCACTGAGGAAGATGCTTTTCAATTTACCTAATCTAAATCTGTTTTCGTTTAATATTCTCTGGGATCCTTCTGGTATCTTTCCAAAAAGATACCTATAACCTTCGCGATTGGTCAACATAACCAACGGATGGCGAGAATCACTAGTCTTGTGTGATATAGTTGTGACCGTGAACATTGCAGTAGTATATTTGGCAAAATCAATATATTTTTCGTAGAAATCAAAATACGATTTAATTGATTTGAAAAATCTTGGATCGATAGAGTGAGCTCCAGAATAGAAGTCGACGTGTTTCTTGGTTTTATTTGGATTGCGATGCAACTGCTTCACTTGATGCTGATCAGAAGGCTTTAGGGCTGGTCTGGTGTTTCGTACTCGGATTTTCTTTTGGGAAGAGTGTAGTCTCCTAGCAAAAACTTTAAAGGATAACACTATGGAAACTTCTTAATCAATAATAACGGATAAAGTCAATTATACCATAATTTCATGGATATTATAGACGCTAGAATCGGCCTTTTTGCTTTATAATTTTTTGAATTCTGCTTCAATCGATGTTCTACTGCATATAAAAATGTCTCTCGTGTCGTATGATTATCGAAATTTCTCGCGACATTATATCTCTTTATCGTCACATGCGAAACAGAATAATGAAGAGGACCTGTTTCATGTGAAGTATATGGGCACATAAGTATGAAATAGAAGAATAGACAACATGAGCGAGTTAATGTTGACAGTAGCAGGGATGGAAATAAATACCAACACGGGTCCTTTTGACTTTGATATTATTGAATCCTTGTACAATCAGTACTCACATTTGCTAAAAGATGAACCGAGCAGCCCCACATATTCTTTTATTCCTTCAATAAGGTCAATTCCAGTAATAAATAGGCTAATGCCAGCATTAGATGAAAAACAAATACTTATTAAAAAGCTATTATCGGAACAGAAGTCGGCCATTAGCTATAAAGAATGGTTCGATATATCCTTAAAACTAGATGAATTATTAAATAATGATCAGTGGAAAGTGAATCCAGAATCGAATTTGTATGACTATGAGCTAGTGCATAACAATCTCATAGAGATGAGAAATGCGAGGTTGTCCAAAGATTATAAGTTATTGTTATACTTAATTAGAACCAAATGGACTAGGAATCTAGGTAATATGGGAGACATTAATTTGTATAGACACTCACACGTTGGTACTAAAGCCTTGATTGAAGACTATATAAAAGAATGTGAAATGTCTCTTGACTATTTAATAAATAATAGAGATGTGAGCCTAGATGATCGATATTTGTTAGGTATGCTCATTCAAACTAGAAAAAATATAGGAAGAACAGCACTTGTTCTTTCGGGAGGTAGCACATTTGGGATATTTCATATTGGGGTAGTGATAACATTGCTAGAATCTAGTTTGCTACCAAGAATAATAAGTGGATCTTCTGCTGGTTCGATTATAGCAAGTATCATATGTTCTCATTCAAACGAAGAGACAGTATCCATTTTAAATGAGATTATGGTTAAAAAGTTTGACATATTTGAAAGTGGAGATGTAGAAGAAGGGAAAGGAGAAAGTTATAAGAGAGCATTAAAAAATCTTGGTCATTTGTTGAAGTATGGAACATTATTTGATATTGATGCGTTGCAAAATACAATGATTAGCCTTGTGGGAGATTTAACGTTTAGAGAAGCATATAATAGAACAGGGAGAATTCTAAATATTACTGTATCTCCCACTTCAATTCATGAACAAACTAGATTACTAAACTACTTGACTGCACCGAACTGTCTTATTTGGTCAGCTGTATGTGCGTCATGCTCGTTACCAGGTATTTTTCCATCTACATTAATTTATGAGAAGGTTCCTAACTCTAATGGTGTACAAGAATGGAATAATGACGCATCCATGAAATTTGTTGATGGTTCAGTTGACAATGATTTACCTATCACAAGACTTCTGGAGATGTTTAATGCTGACCATATCATTGCATGTCAAGTTAATCCTCATGTTGTTCCGATTCTTAAAGTTTCTATTAGTTCTATTGGGGGTGAGGTGGAAAATGAATTGAATTATAAATTTAAAAACTTTTTAAATAATTGCTATGATTTTATGACGAGTGAAATCATACACTATCTTCAGATTTTAAATGAAATGGATGTCTATAAGACATTATCCAATAAGCTAATAACACTTATTTCGCAGCATTATTCCGGAGATATAACCATTTTACCTGATTTCAAGACTGAAGACTTTTTAAAGGTATTTAAAAACCCTACTCCAGAATTTTTACTCGATTTTATAATAAGAGGTGCTAGAGCTTCATGGCCCAAAGTTACTGTGATATACAACCATTGTGGGGTGGAATTTGCTTTAGATAAAGCTATAAGTTTATTACGAGGGAGGTTGATCACGTCTTCGAATAATAAATTAACTTATAGAAATTCGGATTCAACTAACAACAATGCTAACCAAAATATAACCTTGGTAAATCTCCCAGTGATGAATTATAATGATTCAATAACTTCTCCAGTTACTCCAGAAAAATCAAGAATTAATAGCTTCAGTCATGTACCCCCAAATATGAAAAGGCATAATTCGGCTTCATGTTCTATTGGCATATCGGGTAGCACAAATAAAGCTCCAGCTTTTAAAAGGAATTCAATAAGTGTTGCCATACCTTCAACACATAAACACAGCGACAAAATTTTGAAGGGTAGATCAACGACGTCTTTGGCTTCTATGTCTTCTCAATATTCTCATCAGAATAGTGACATTTCAGCAGAAACCACTTTAATTAATGATGATGATAGATACGGAAGGTTTGCACCTCTGAACAAGAGATTAGAAAAGCACCATAGCTTTCCAGATAACTTTAAAACACCAAGTGGTTACAGTGAAGATGTTGAATCTAAAGCAGGAAAACAAGAAAAAGGCCTTAATGAAAGACAAAAAGTACGGAAGGCTAAAAGTTCCGGAAATTTCAATATTGTAGGAAGAAAAACTGATACTAACAACCAAAAATTGAAGTATCAAACTGAAAGAATCCCATTTTATAAAGGGAATCCATATTTGGATGTATCTTCTAAACATGCACACTTTGATTATGAAGGAGCTAAAGATTTTCCTGAGAATATTTTAGTAGCTGCCTTTAATGAAAACATTGAAAAAGAAAAGCCAAACCTACCCAAATTGTCGAATAACAATTCCTTGAGAAACTCATATATTGGATTGAATAGACTCAAAGATAATTATTTATCAAGATCTAATAACAATTCTAATTATAATTTAAAGGATGCATATAGTAGTGAGTTAATCAAGAGTAGATTGATGAACTTACACTCCCCAGATTTGAGGAGATCTTTTTCTAAAAGTTATCCTAATGATAATAAATACTCTCAAGTGTTTAACGCTACAGATAACGAAGAGGAAAGTGACGAGATCGGAAACGAACAGCCTGTTTCTGCAAATGGTCTTTTTAAAGGATCAAAATTAAAAGACAAAGGAAATGATCGTATTAAAAATGAAATTCATGAACCTGACGAAGAAATAGGTGCCGAGAAAAAAGATGAGATTGAAGACAACCTAGAATGTGACGAAGATGATGAAAAGAATAATGAAGTAGACGATGACAGAAATAATGATGATGACAACAATGAAAGTTCAGAAAAGAAAGACTCCGATGACAAAGTTAAGATAATCGAGCTCTCTGAAGATAATAGTACTGAAGAGAAACAATCTGAGGGAACTGAGAATGACGAGAATGATGATTTTTATGAGTGCAATTAAACACTGATAAATAGATATGTATATTTAGTGTTCTCCAAATAAACTTATTAACACTGGCACAGCTGTACCTACTAATGATGCCAATATATGAATCCCCTCAATCGTTGGTTTATTACCGTAATATAATGTATCATCACTTCCTCCAGATTGAGGGATCATATTATTTGTGGAGGATACTTCTAGCATTACATGCGTTACAACATAAAGAAATGTACCACCGCTGAACACAAGTAAATTTCCAACGACAAAATCATTTTGCAAATGAAACAAGGACATAAAGATAAAAGTCAATATTGAGCTTAATGGAGTTATTGATGCAAATATTAATAAATGAAATTTTAGAACCGATTTATTCATTTCTTCCTTCATTAATAGCGACGAAAGACTAAAGCAAGTGGGTAATTTGTGAATAATAATCATTATAAAAAGTATCAATCCAATTGAGCTCTCGTCATGGGATTTACTAAAGGATGAACCTAAGGATATTCCATCAATCATTGCGTGAAAAATAAGTCCCAATGTTAAAGATGATGTAAATATGGATGTAAATAGGTCTCTATAAGATCCATTGTAATGAAATTCGTTAATGGACTTCAATTCAATGTTGAAAGAATGTAAAATAGCATTTAGATGGTCAATAATATACATAATAAGAAAACCACTTATTAGACCTAAACCTATGTATTGAGGAAACATATCATTACTCTTTTGATCTGCCGATTGGTACAATGTTTCAATTCCTTCAGGAATAGCAATAACTAGTGCAGTACCAAGTATTATCCCCATACTGAAAAATGAAGTTAAATCCATTTGTTTTTGTGATAATGGAAGCCTTAAAGGTATCAAGCCCACAGAATATGAAGTTAGCCCCATTATTACCGCTAGTATTACGGTTTCTATTGCTCTATTAAAACCATCGTTCATACTTGCTTTAATGTGCTGTGAAACAAGAATAAGTCTGCTAGATAAGGTGAATTTTATTTACGCGTAGTTTTCAAAAATCATTTCTAATCAGCTATAAAATCTTCGTACTAGATGGAATACAAGATAATAGATGCCGTTGGATCAAGAGACGATAAATGATAAATTGAATTTAGCCATATTATATTTCAAATCTTCAGCTTATGAGAAAGCATTAAATTTATACAATGAATTAATTCTCAACTGTCAGAGCTACTCGATCGATGAACTCAAACTAATCAGGAGGAATATTTATAACTTGAACGAGACTCCGCCTGTTGGACCTATAGTTCATCCGAAATTGGGGTCCCTATTGGATCAGAGAGCTGCAACAAATGAAAAATTGGGCCAACTAGATAAATCTTTAAAAGATGGAGAAAAGTTAATAAAGTGTGAACCAATAAGCTGCAAAGGCTATTTACGAGTAGCAAAGGTATTGTTGATTATGGAAAAGGAAGTTGAAGCTTATAAGGTTTTGCAAAGAGGTAATTATATTATTTGCAATGCTATTGAGAAATACAATATAGTAGTTCCTGAGAAATTATTCAACAATTTGAAAAGTCAATATAAATCATTGAATAGAAGACTAAAGCAGCAGAAGGAACAAAATAGTATCACCTCTGAAAATAAAAGTCTAGAGAAAAGTTTGGAAAAAATGCTACCATTTAAGAGAGCAAAATCATTGTCAGGCACATCGTTGTCAAAGAGGCCGAAAAAGACTCTAGATCCGTTTATTTATTTACCATTAGAAATAATAGAGTTGATATTTCGAGACTTTACTCTCAAAGAAGTTCTTCGATGCCATTTAGTATCATTAAAATGGTATAGCATATTAGTGAACATACCATCATTATATACTAGTAAGGTCTCGTTCAAACCAAAAATCACCACCACTGAATTCGTTAATGGAGTAAAGCTAATAAAAAAGATTATCGATAGGTCATATTCAAAACAAATTAAAATGTTAAAACTCAGATCTACAGCAAACAACATGCAATTATTCAAGATGATTGAACTACTAATATCCGAAAAGCAACTAAAATTGCAAGGATTGGATGTCATTAATAAATACTTGAGTTTTGAATTTTTTATTAATAAACTATACAAGACGAATTGGAATGTTTCGAATATTAGCAGTTTGCAATTTTTAAGGTTGGGTATCAAATCAAGTCTCAAGTGTGAAAACTTAATATTCAAAATGATGAACCGCTTAAAAAGTTTAGAAGTTATTGTTATTGATAACGATTCAAGTGGTTCAAGTGCATCTTTAATTCCCAATAACAGTAAATTTCATGACTTAATACGACTTGATGACAGGCCATATGATTCTCTTGAACATCTTTCAATAGTGAACCATCCTAAACTTATGAGAGATAATAATCAAACAAGAGTTGGCAATGATACTTATAATCCTTATCCTCCATTCATATTAAAGCACTTCCCGAATTTGACTAGCCTTTGCATTGTATCATATGATTTTACCAATAGACAAACACAATTCCAAGACTTCTTATCAAGATCAGCCAACCTTACAAGCCTCTATTTAGAGAATAACGAAAAGATATCAATCAAGAACTTTCTTCAAGACTTAATTGTTTGCAATGCTACTTTCACACTCCGTAAATTAACAATTAGGGAGAAATCAGTAAGTGCTGCGATTCATTTAAATGAATTGAATGATTTATATATCCCATCTTTGCATTCACTTACATATCTCGATGTATATGCATCATCCTTATCAATAAAGGGTTTATTTAAGTTATTGAAAATTGCAAATTTTAATAATGAATTGCATACATTGTTTCTCGGAAATTCGAATTACCTATATTTCAAAAATGATAAAATATCTATCCATCATAACTTAAAAATATCGTTATATGATATCATAAGTGTTGTCCCGAATTTGCAAAAGCTATACATCAACGAGATAGAATTAGACAATTCCTCAATGAAATTTTTCCGTAATGACTTAGTTGAAAATATTGGCTTGGAAAATATTAACTTGAAGGTATTGGACATTAGTTTTTGCAAGCAGATCGATGGAATTGGGTTGATGAATTTGTTTTCATTTAATTTGAAATTATCTGATGACAGTCAAGTTTTCAAGTTACAAGAGTTGATAATTGATGGCATGGAATTCAATCAAGATACTTTAAAGATATTGATAAAGAGAGGATATGTTGAAAGAATTAGAAACGATCCACTCAAGAGTAAGTGGAAGAAATACGGTTTGACTACTTTAGTTCCAGAGTTATAAGCAGCAAAACCACTCGATGATTGCAAAATAAACGATGCGTGCGCGAAATAAAAAAATCAACTACCAAAAAAAAAGTTAGAGATGAGCCAATATTTAGGAAGCAATATACAATAAGCATGGTGGTCACTAGAAGTAGATTGAACGCTAAGGCAGGAGATGGAGCCACTCCTAAAAAGATAAAGTTTCTGGATAATGATGCAGAGGTAAATGATATTGAGTATCATACAGCAGAAGAAGAAGAGCCAAATCAATCCGCAGACTCAGATGAATCAGATTCAGGTTCAGATTCCGATGAAGCACCAGAAGAAGAATCCACAACAGGAATAAAAAATGAAATAATAGCAAAGCAAAAAGAAGACTTAAAAAAACAGCAAGAATTGAAAAAACTTGAAAAGGAAAGGAGAAGACAACAAACTTTGTACAATCAACAGCAACAACAACTTAAGAAGAACAAGAAACAAGAAGATGAATTACCAGAATTCTTACCGGAGGATATATTCGAATCAATATCTGATAACGAAGCTGAAGATTCAGAACCAATAATACCATCAAAGCATTTAAAATTACAAGATTTTGAGAAGTTAGATGAGATGGAGATACGTCGACAAATAAAACAATCAAAGTTAAAAGATCTTAAGAAAAGTAAGAAACTTTCTATAAAGAAAGGTCCAGTGCATGTTAAGGTTCAGCAGTTTAATTTAGACAAAAAAGTTGTTCCAAAGTTCGAAAACAAGGTTGTCAATACAAGAAATAAATGGCTTAAAAGAAAATCTTTAGGCAAAAAGTAAAGAACGTATATTAATATATTTAAGTAATAGATTTCGTCATCAGATTTTTTGTTTTGTACGTAATATAGCTTCTAGCTTCTCTCTGCTTTTGCCTCTGCACAAATAACGCTATATAGTATAGCAAACCAGCATTTAGAGATATACAAGTAGCATAAGCTTTAATGCTTCGACTAATCGAGGATAATATCGATGAATCAGTTGAATCAAATTAATAAGCCAGTATTTTTGAATTAGACTTTCATAACTAATATGAGTTCACCATGGTCATGGTTCTTCAGTAAATTTAGTAAACCTCATACAACCCTCTATTAATTACTTCTAGTCACTCCAATCCTATCATCCTTGGATTGCTCTTTAGTCGCTATGTCATTGCTTGAATTATTATGGATATTGGTATTCATTTGCTCTTGTAATATAAAATCATTATGATTCTGATCATGCAGTTGTTGAAATTGATGTTGAGAATTCTGTTGGTCCAATAAACCATCATCATACTCAAGAACATCCTCTGGGGTAAGCTTGATTGTAGTTGCTGGCCTTCTTAACATTCTAATTTGACTTAAAATAGTAAAATCAATGTTATTTTATTTTGATCTTTGCGATCTTAAAAGCGTTCCATAATTCACGGACTTTTTTTTAAAACTGTTCGACTCATTACTTACTAATTCTAGATAGAAGATTAAACCAATATACAATTTTCAATGGTTTCTATTTGACTAAACATCTAGAATTTTTAAAATATAGCTTTATAAGAGACCTTCCATTAAATAGTCAAGTATATTTTTAATAAGTATTATCACAAATTATGACTTCGTGGCCAAGTTGGCTAAGGCGTGAGACTGTTAATCTCAAGATCGTGAGTTCGACCCTCACCGAGGTCGTAGTTTTTTATCATTTTTGATATCTCCTCTTACTAAGTCTAAACCGAAATTCTACTACTAACAAAGGTAATTGTTATGTCTATCAAGAAGTATGCAATAAAATAGTTTATTAGTTATGAATTAAATTTATAAAATTATGTACCACCTTAACCGTTAACACCGTTCCTATTTCTACAAGTATAAATAACAAAAATTAAAGATGAAAAATACCCCAAACCAGAATTAATAAATTAGTTGTCTAGGTCCTTTAAACGTATCTTTAGACAATACGGACACATCATATGGTTACATCGATGGCAATTAAACCTTGTTGGAATGCAAACAGCCACCTTATTATTATATTCGAACAACCCAGGAACGGGCGAAACACTTGGTGAAGTGCAAGATGATGCAAAGGTAGATATCGTGTGGTGCACTGGTTCTGAATCACCCATACGGTCCTTGAAGTCACTAATATCAGTCATACTACTTGAGCGACGCCTTATTGGCTCAAAATAATTTACATTTGCTCTTTCTTCTGGAGTCCTCAAGTTTTTGGAACCATTCAAATACTCGTACTTGGAATATGAAGGATTGCCACCACTGTACAATATTTGGCTGTAGTATTTTAACTTCTTGATCAAGATGTCATCCTCCTTTTCTTCAGTAATCTCCGTTTCTATATTTTCCTTGTATATTATCGAACCATAACTTTGACCACACGAACAACAATACCATTGGCATATTTTATTGGCATTCTGACTATTTTCCATACCTATCTTGTTTCCTGTTTTTGTATTTCCATCAAAAGGGTTCTCAGGATTGCCTGGATAACAATTCTGCATTAACTTCTACCACTTGTGTTTTCCCACCAAAAGTGAATACAATATATCCTTCTAAAGCAAGTATTTACTTAGTTTGAATCAGTTAATTATCCTACAACACTATGTCCTCACTAATATCTTTACTAACAGAGGAGTTATAATGTATTTTAATTTTTTCTTGAATTTGTCTGGTCTTTAAAGATAATAAATACTTCAAGATTCTAGATTGCTGATAGTCTAGACCTAAAAATCCGGCTGAAAAAATTAAAATTTGATTCCGTAAAGCTTATTATATATTCGAGTTTTGAAGAAGTTTTACCCTCCTCTTACATCCCCAGCCGTAATGGATCTACAATATACGTAGAATATACCTATCTCCTAAGGCACTAATACAGTGGATACTAAGGACACTAGGTAGAAAAATCATAGAATCCCGATTACACGGGAAGCTGCAGTGGAAAAAAACCTAAGCCCGCCTTAGGAGGATGCATGAAAGGGCGAGAATCACGTATAGCTGCAACCCTTGCTTGCGCATGAACTAGGCAATTACAACACATTTTATTGGTATAAATTTTCTCTGGAGTAACTGGCTAATGTAAGAGGTACATTGTAAATACATACTAGAAAACAAAAACGTTGTCTTTGAATTATTTGCAACTAAAGGGTCGTCTATTTACGAATATTATGGGGCTCGCTTGGGGATCAATTCAAGAACCCGAAAACTTTACAGTATTTACATCTATTGGCATACTTGATTTTATAAATTGAAACCATAATGTATAATCTCACACAAGTATAGTATGACCAATCTTAGTCTTTCCCTTCCATTATGGCAAACAGAAGTATTGCAAGAATGTTGCAATCTATTTTTGTGCGGTGACCTTCGCATTTTGCATTTACGCTGAGGTTCCTTTTTTTACTGTTTTTTTTCTACTACTCACTTTAACAATAGTTCTTCCGCAGCAGCCCGTATATTCATTCTGGGACCGATCAGTTGATTTTGGCATGTATTATTATAATTAACTGCTCAAATACTTCGATTCTGTCTGTCTTGTTAGACACACTTATACGATAGTATCCCAACCTGGACAATTGACTTCGCTAAATACGTCGAAAATATACGTCAGCTTTGTTCCGACGTATCTGATATGGATGCAATACCTACTCAACTACGGATATAGAAGTCTTCAGTAATATTTAATTATACAATCGGAAAAATTTATTAATAGTTGCTCGCTTAAATGACTAATTACAAGATGGTATTGGAATAAGTGGTTCTTCCGCAGTAACTCGGGATCCTTAACCAGAGTCGATCGCCTAATGCTTTTGGTACATAAAATAGCTCAATTGACTCAGGATACCACTGGGGTATCTTTCCTTAGACCAAGCGACATATACGTTCTACATTGAGTACTACGTTGAGTAGTCCATGTTTACCCAGATCATATATTCTATGTAACATCTCTCCTTTACGGATTAGATAATGCTATAAAGTGGGGCTAATCTATATATTCGCATAATGGTTTATATCGATGGAAGATCCGCTTTTGGCATCGACTACTTTGCTGAAAAGCTCCACTCTAATGAGCCCATCGGCATTACCTGGCGTTAAAATGACATTGTTGGAGCTTTTGTAGAATATAATGCCAGACTCTAGACATTTTTCAATATTCAAATATATAAGGACGTTACTACTAGCTCGAATACCAGATATATCACTTATGCTCGAAGCGAAGTGGATATGGTTCCTGTTCATTCTGCTTAAGCCATCACTATTAAATATGGCGGGAAGTTTATTTTTGTAAGTTCCGTGGTAAATTTCTAGTGGAATAGTTTCTTTTGTGAGTTCAGTTAGATTTGAATCATTAACTGTTTTGATGGAATGGCCTTGATTGGCGCATATCATTACTTCTCCTTCTTTTTCGATGATAGAAAATCTTTTCTTGTCATTATTCTCGACAATCCTACGAATATCATCGAGTGTTACTTTATTGGTCTTGAGTCGATTATGATTTAACAATTCATTTATATTTATATATCCAGTTTCATCGATGTTTAGTTTCTCTTTCACAGCACCGTGTCTTAATAAGTATGATAGCGATTTAGATATAGCTATATCTCGTTTGGCCGGAGGTAATGATGCCATTGTACCGTGATATTTGAAAGAAAAAAATCGTGCTTAAGATTTGGTGATGATTTTCAATCTCATAAATCACACTTACTCATCTCTATTGACCATATTATACACCACTGATCGTTTGAGCACAATTTCATATAGAAGCATTAAACAAGTAGAATCGAGAACTAATACAAATATGTACCAAATTTTTAGTTTATATCCGTAAGATTAGATTAAATATAGAACAGAAATTTGTTCACTACTAATCTAAATGCTACATATGAAACAAAATATATGTTAGTTGTATACTTATGTTTACTATTATTTTTCTCTATTCATACTAAATATTCTTAGTATCTATATTTACATGAAAATGTTACTAATCTCATTAGCCTCTTGCTTTTTGACCTTATACCACCTTTCAAATTTAAGCAATACAAAATTCGACCAGTTTATACGCTAAGTGTATCATTATATCCTAGCTGGATCACTTTTTAATGTCACTGCATTTTTTGACCTTAGCACCTGCTAATGAACCCATTTCTGCTTTCGATTGTTTGATTGTTTCATTATCTCCTAATTCAGTACGATCATGAAATTTCAAAAAGTATTTCTCGCCTTCTTGCTTTTCACCTTGAACGATATTTTTGATCAAGAACTGGCTTACCTCGTTCATTTTATCTATGGCTTCTTGCTGTTGTTCTTGTTGAGCCAAGTCTTTATTATCAATAAATCCTTGCTTTATTTGAGTTCTAGCTGCTGTTAAAACAGGCAAATCGTTTTTGAAAGCAACTCTTGTAGCTCTGAGAGCATTTCTGTATGCATTTATGGCTCTTATGTTACTCATGTCTATCTTATTAATTCCCTATATGTAAATAAATGGTGATTATCACCAGAATTTTCGACTTGAATTTCTCATCGCGAAGGCACACCAATTTCCTTAGTCTCTCCAGCTTAAAAAATTTACATGGCCTATATTTAAACTTAACTACTACATATAGTTTTAACGATTTAAAGAATGTATATTTTGATATGCTAATCTATAATATCAATTTCTCAATTGAATAGTTAGGAATTCTTTTAGAAATCTCAATGCCATCATCTTTTAGCTTTTTACCAGCATTATTTTGTATGGATAAGATCGAATTCAATTGTTGCTGTTGGATTTCATTGTTCAGTTCAATGATATTAGTACTCTTTTCTGTTGTCTTTTTTCCTGATTTCTTATTTTTATTTAATTTTCTTATTGGCTCATTAATTAAAATGGCTTGGTTTGTAAGAGTCAAGTTGTAGTTGTTTGCCATTATTGATGCTAATTTGTCCTCAATAATTTCGATTAAATTATTTACAGTATTCATAGACCAGTTAAACAAACCACCAACATCAATGATAGATTGAATTAAATACCAACTTTGGTTATTATTAAGCTTAATCAAATTATTCAAGATAGTCTCTAAATTAAGATTGTTCTGTTTTGATTGTAAGATGTCATTCAATTGATGAGTTATTTGGTTTACTGAAAACTCATTAGTTAATCTAGTTATGACATCCTGGAAGATTTCTAAATTGTCATTGTTTAATTGTAAAGAAATTTCTTCAATTGACAAATTAGGACATGTTATTATTGCTTGTCTCAATAATCTAGGTTTGTCAAGTTGCGTGAATAATGACAATAACCCTTTTGTATGCTCGTATGTAAATAATGGATGAGTCAAAAGATAAATCAAGGTATACTCAGGAATAAAATCTAATTGTTCATCAAATATCAAGGATAAAACTTTACTTATAAAGTGAGGATCAATAACTCTATCATTTTCTACTTCAAAAACGGAAAACTCTTCTGCTGGGGTACCTTTTGCTAAAGTCTTTTTGATAGAGGACCAGCTTTTATTTTTCAAGTATGGAACTACGATTAATTCCCACTTATTAATATTCTTTTTCTCTTTTAACTCCACTAATTCATCGTATATCTCTTTTAATTCTTTGGATACCTTCGTGGATTCTTTGTCGAAAGAATCATCAATGACATTGGTTAAACCTTTGAACTCGCTGTCGTTTTTTCGCTTAACAATACTTTTGCCCAAACATTCACTAAGAGAATTTATTCCGGTATTGACATTGATTATATTTAAGCTGGTATTCTTCTTACGAGCATTATAATGCAAATAAATGGCAAAAGTAGAACTAGTATTTGTCGAACTTCCTTTAACATCAACTACTTGCTTAATATAAATTTTGTCCAATCTAGTATAAGTATCCAACAAACTCTGAAATTTGAAGTTTATTAAATATAACTTGCTTTTCCAGGATAATAATAATCTTTCATCACTCGGACAGATTATAGAATAATCATTGATAGATTTGGTTGGGGCGTCAATAATAGAGTCAACTTTTATTGACTTCAAGACTTTAAAGTCTATGATTGAGCGTGAGCTGATTTCCAACTTATCAATATTAAATTCATACAAAATTCCTGATTGATAAGTGAAAATAGACTGGCATTCTGCAAAATGAGAAAACTGATTGATCTCAAAAGATTTTTCATAATTCAACGAAGTCAATTTATAGACGAGACTTCTTTCATTAGATTCGATAGTTAATAATAAATCATTATCGTATTTAAAATCGTGGTTCGAAATGAACTTGTAATAAACTAATTCATTACCAGACTTGAGCTGTAAATCTAATGATACGTCTTCAAGGTTGTCGTCATTAATCTTTAATAATTTGAGTCCGCCATTAACCAAAATAGCATATACAAACTTACCACATTTTGAGAGCTTGACCCCTTTAACTTTTGAATCTAATTTAATTTCGAAATGATCTGCCGTATCATTGTGTCTTTTAATTATTAAAGCCTTGTAATTCTTACGCTCGGTAGTACCAACCACGTAGGTTTTGACGAAGTCAGTTGAATTACCATCTGTTTCTTGAACATCCATACATTCTACAATGGTGGATGGCGATAATGGGAATGACCATACTAATTTTGGTGTTGGTTTTAATATATAGCTGGAGATGATTGATTTTGATATACCAATATCAATATGAGTAGTATTGGTTGAAGTTATGGTTGGAATCACAACTTGGTGACATAAGTCTAGGTCCGTTATCCTTGGTAGAGATACCAAAGGGTACAGATCTGATAATGATGGGGCCATGGTTTAATATTAAGATTCTGCTTCTGGTTATTCTTCTTCCCATCGCTTTCAATGGTTCCATAAATTTTTTCTGAAGGTCATTGCTTATGTAATCAATCATAACCGTTTTTTTTTCAATGATCTGTGATCTATCAAGGCAAGACAACTTTTATTCAACTATAATTGTTGAATGCTTCTGGAAATAGTCATGTAAACTTGTATATTGGAGAATATGGAAGAAATTAGTGTTATTAGTATATAATTGTGAAATAAATCTAACGAATACAAAGTTAGTTTAATTATATAACTACAAATGAGCATATCATAGTTGCATTATCTGATATTATAATATAATATTGCTTTTAATGACGTACGATTATAGCAAAAGGAATGTTAATGACACTTCCTTTTAGATATTCAAAGAATATATAATTGTAATTGAAAGATACTCTTATATGAAAAAATGTACAATTGAGCCCCTACGCACTTACGATAGAGCGTACAATTTCATTTGTGTCTTTATAACGTATATATAGCATGGTTTGGACTACTTGTCTTCGTTGAAGTGATTCTATATATGTCTGGGTGAGTTGTAGAAGAAAAGCGAAGCAAGGCTAGGCTGCGAAAAGAGAAAAATTTATAGAACTGACAGTGTGATAGGTATCTATTTACAAAAGTTATTATAACAGTTTCTTAGAGAGAGTGTGGGATTTATGTTTAACTCTATAAAATGCACGTATGCTAATTAAGGGGAGGCTGCGGTGATGGAATTTCTGGCGCAGTAGCACCGATTATAACATGTGAAAACTAGAGCAGTATAATGACCCTATGGCATCTATTAGTCTACAGCTGGTAATAAAATGTAATCTAATGTACATTAAGAAATGACTCTAGTATAACTCTAGTATTAACTCTATAAAATAATGATATGAAAATGGTTTAGACCATGATGACAATGAAAGCAAACTGAAAATAAATAACCCAACTAATATATTAACCCTGAAAATGATTAGACGGATTGCAAGAATTCGTCATTGGCGTAATGGTAATCAGAGACAACAACCTTGAATTCATCGGTTTCCTCGTTGTAAGATTCGATCTTGAAAGAGCTCAAGTCGTCAACAACAATGTCAGCACCAGCCTTTCTAACCTTTTCTGGGTCGTAAGTAGAACAGATACCAACAATGAATGCACCAGCACCCTTACCGGCGGTAATACCAGCAGGAGCATCTTCGAAGACAACAACCTTGTTGTGGGCACCCTTGTAACCTAAGGTGTCTCTAGCAGATTGGTAACCTTGAGGGTGAGGCTTACCTTTGGTAACCTTTTCAGCGGTGATGAAGCAGTCTGGCTTTTCGATGGTTAATAATTTTAACCATTTGGTGGCCAATGGTAAAGTACCAGATGTCACAATAGCCCATCTTTGTTGACCGTTTTCAGTTTCCTTCTTGGAGAATTCGTCAAAAGATTTGACTAATTCAACAGCACCAGGGATTGGCTTGGCGAATTGTCCGAAAGAGTCTGGAATAGATCCTTCCCATTCGGTGACTTGTTCAACAATAGCATCTTCTGGTGACCATTTTGCAATCACATCGAATGTACGACATCCGTGCGAGGTTCTGATAATTTCATCTGGGTTGACGTGTGGTCTGGTCTTACCGAAATCTCTCCAGAATTCTGAGATAGCTCCGGTAGAGTTAACTAATGTTCCGTCACAATCGAATAAAGCAGCATTAACGTAAAAGACAGCTGGTTGCTTTTGAATTGTCATTGTAATATATTATTATTATGTTTGTATTAAGGAAAGTATTGAATACTGTTTGATAGTAGAAAATATTTACTCATTATGAGGGAGAATTGCATGCTATTTATATTAATCAATTAATTGCCTAAACAAAAAGAAATGTCTAGTTTATCAGCTTGTATTGCACTAAAGATTTTTTTTTTTGTTATCATCATCTGATTACATAATGCAAATTTTAGAAATTCAATTACGTAACGATGCTTATTGATGCGCTATATACGCTTAATTCCGGTATGTTACCATATAATACGCTCTTTAGGTTATAGTTATGTTCCGGGAGTATTGTGGCCAACAGAAATAAAAAAAATCATTACGTAATAGAACGGAACTAAAATGACCAAAAAGGGTAATACACGGTTGATTTTGTAATTTTATTTCTTTTGGGATCTTTCGATTTATTTCTTTTTGTGTTTAACGGTTACCACGAGAGCTTCCACGGACATGATATGATCTAATTAATGTGTGAGGATAGGAAAAACCATACACGGGCGATGACAGAATTAGATTTAATTTTCTGGGCCATCTTGGATCAAAAATAGATTCATGGCTGGGTGATGAATAGCATGAATCTTCGTGGTCTAGAGGTTGACTGAAACTTTGGGACATATACGTAAGTAGTAGGGACGCATACCGACAACAATAATTCTGGACCTATTGTGGGTACAGGGTTAATACAGTAGTGACCCAATAGGAACGTGTAGAGTATCTTATGATTCTGAAAGACCATCGTACGGGCCCAAAGGAGGAATAAAATGCTACTTAATACAAGACAGCTACGTCAATATGACGTAGTTGTGAGAAAGAGTGCGAGTGTAGTCTAGAAATGACGTCACGTCGGTTTTGTGAAACTGCATACAGGGGGATGTCGGTCGTAGGGGGGCCGGATGGGAGGGACCGGAATAATCAAGTAAACCGGGCTGCGAACCATTTAGACCAGATCTCCAGCGATCTTGGAGGATTCAGGTATTTCAGGAGCACCTAGTCAAACAAGCACTGAATAGAGCACTGAACAGAGCACTGAACTGGTCGTATAGGGATAACTGAAGGGCATAATACACGAGTATTTTCAGAGGATAGGTATTGACGACAATGTACAGTGTTGAATATAGGACAATGTAATAATACTACAATAGGTAATTAAAAAGAGACAATTGTAGATTGTTAAAGAGAGAGGGGGGCATTAGGATCAATAGTATAGTTAGAAATACTAAGGTCGGTAACCTGGTTAAAGTTTGGCAGAGGAATCGTTTTGGTAAAAAACCTTGTAACAACCTCACAACAGCATGTGAGCTAATCAAGATGTAGAGTTACGAGTTTTGAATTTTATAGTTGTAAGTTGTCATGCTGAAGCGCTTATGGGATGAAAGGAATCATTAGTTAAGTCCGAAATATTAGAATTCCGTGAGTTTGCTAATATTGACTCGAATCAGCAAAATTCGCAGCCAGTAGAAAAATATTGAGTTTTTGCACAAATATTGGTATATTCAAACAATCATAAAAATTAGACATACTAAATATATTTGATATATATAGGGCGAGAATAATAAGCTGCCTACGTTTCTGTTTATTTTTTACCTTTACCATGCCTGTAAACCGAGAATTTCTGGTCCCATTGATATTTACTGACGATTTATGAGTTTCATTATATCAATCAACTGCTCTTCCGAGTTACGCAAACCAACAATTCCCAAACTGATGGGTGAATTCTCAAAGCTTTCAGGTGAATCATATTGCTTATAAACAAATTCGTCCATTTCGTTTCTCGGTTTGTAATCTTTTATTGGGATATCCTTCGTCAAGTCGACCTTAGTAACTGGGAAAACTAACACTGGATAATCTAGCAAATTCCATTGGGCTGTGTAGCCCCAATACTTAGCGGTTCTATGCTTTGCAGCAGGTCCAGGGAAGACTGGTGCAATTAAGGCATCCATTGGAGTATTTCCTTCAGTATTGTTAAACAGTAACCAATGTTTCAAGTAATCCTTTCTATACTTTTGTTTTTCTAGATTCCACTTCCATATTTCCTCTACCGTTAATCTTTTCACTGAGTCTTTTCCCAAAATCCATTCTGTTTGAGGGCACATAGGCTCACCAGTGCTTTTCAATGTTTTTCTAGTATCATCACCTCCATCTTCAAAGTACAAGGCTGAAATAATCTCCCAAGCTTTCTGATGATTGAATGGCTCAAATTCAAAAACTTCTATATTATCCGTACTTTGCAATTTTTCAAACATAATATCAAGAGCTCTTGATATAGGAGGATGAGGTGTAACTACACCATCAGTTTTAAGAATACCAATGCGATAGGGGGTTTTTCTTGCGTGATTTCTCCATTCGATCGAAGTCAAGCTGGGATCAATCTTCCATGGTTTTTCCTGCACCACGGTTTTCATGAGTAACTCTAAGGTATCCAAGGACCTAGTCAATGGCCCAGTCACTGACATGATGGATTCAGAACCCATTTGGCAAGAGAAATAATCACTTGTTGGTATTCTTCCAACTGTTGTTCTCATACCGTAAATTCCATTGAATGCTGAAGGACATCTAATTGAACCACCTATATCAGAGCCTAGGCCGATAGGCGATGCATGAATTCCATTTATTGCACCCTCTCCTCCAGATGAGCCTCCGCAAGTAAGATCACTGTTAAATGGGTTAACAGTCCTACCATGAGTGAAAGATTCGCATTCAAGCATCATCAAAGATTGCGGGTTTGTAGACCTAACAAATGGAACCGCCCCATTCTTTATTAAAATGTTGACAATATCGGCATTATAGTCAACAACCCTGTCAAGGTAGCAGAGTGAACCATGGGTTACAGAATGACCGGTCAATGGGATCATTTCTTTGAGAGAAATTGGTAAGCCAAACATAGGACAATGGCTTACCAATTTGTCTTTATTTTCATCTAAATATCTAGCGCTTTTTAACGCTTCATCAGGAAGAAATTCATAGACACAATTAGTCACTTTAGATGCAATTAAAGCAGCATGGAAGTAGCTTGTGAGGACCTCAACACAAGTATATTTTCCACTTTTGATATCCTGGATCAATTCGACGGGATCAGCCTCAGTAATTTGGACGTCTTTCTTCGATAACGTTTCGTAGTATTTATCAACAGGAAATTTGGCAGGGCTACCAAAATCAGTTACAGACTTTCCAATTGCACTTGGAAGCTTCTCAAATGCTTCTAAAGTTTCATCACTATCGAATGGAAATAATTCCAATGTTCTACTTTGTGATTTGCCAAAAATCAATTGTGCTTGCAGAGCTAAGGTTTTCCAATCTGTAGTCAACATCGTGAAATGGCTAATTGCTTATTGATATACTTCAAATTAATAAAGGTTTGATCTATTTATATAGCTATCTTACTGAAATCATCATTCTATTATACTGACTAGAATGGGGAAAAATAGCGGGCAAATCATAATCAAGCTGTGGATAAGATTCTCACATCGATAAGCGTATTTTAGATAAGACGCACCAATTTTTGAGGGGTTTTCCTCAGCAACTCATGTAGTTATTTAAGCTTTCCTGATATATTTGCTACTATTACAAATTATCCACCCAATATTGAGTTAATTGATCTAGTTTAGTATGGTTTCGTCGTGCATGAAGTTATTTTAAAAGTTAAAACCAAATAATAAGTCAATTTAGTCGCTGTTATAGGAAGCCAAGTAAAGGAATTGAGAAAAGTTAAATAGCAGACATGACTATATTGATGCGAAATTAGAATATAAATCCCACTCTAAGTTTGTAGTACACATTATCCTCGTATGCGAGACGAGAATTTTGGACTTTCTTATCATTTAAAATTCCAATATCGTAAGTATTTGTGTTAATCACGTATGATATCTTGCTATCTTTCATGTGTTTTCAATATTGCACCACTTCTATCACTACTACCGCTATATAATTTTTCTAACTTTAGTTAAGTTCGTGTGCCAGATTAAACGTAGGAGCAATTTGTAGGCTTCTTTACAAGTGTGGGACAAGAGTGAAAAAAAGCTCTTGGCCAGTTACGAAATTTGGTTCCGTGTTGTTGCAATAACTAGAGCAAAAAACTGAAGTAGGAAAGAGAATTTTCGGAGATGCCAGTAAAGGTCATGTTTAGTGAAAATATACGCTTTAATATTCATGGTTAATCTTTATGCTTGCAGTGGTACATAATGGTATATTTCTATGCAACTGCAAGGTTCATACTGGGTTCAATGAATATCGATGCCTTGCTTAGCTTTGGTATGAACCGAAAACTAACGTACACGTAGAAATTAATTAATCACTATATTGGCATTGGATCTGCCAGCCTACATTACTTTGGAACACTTAAAACGTAGTAGAATTATGTATATAAAATGTTTTCCCCATTACTTTTTTCTTTATAAAACTTAAATTGATGAACTCACTCAAACCATGAGTTATTTATAAAATACAATATAAAATATAAACAAAAAAGACAATGATGATTAAAGCTTATTCATTATTATTTTTTCCCAACTCAAATAGATTAAATAATTTAGATGTAACCAATTCTGTTAGCAATATCTAAAGCATCGTGGTCAGCAGTTAATCTGATGTAAGCCTTCTTGGTACCGTTTGGTCTGACTAAGGTGTTGACGTATTCGACATCGACATCGTATAATTCCTTGACAGCGGACTTGATTTGGTTCTTGTTAGACTTTAAGTCAACTTGGAAAACTAAGATGTTACCGTCTTCAACCTTCTTCATAGCGGTTTCGGAGGCGATTGGAGAAACAATGATCTTGTAAGCATCTAATCTGTTGTAGTGTGGGACAGCCTTTCTAGAGTATTTTGGGGTTCTAGATAATTTTAAAGTCTTTGGTCTGTGGAAAGAAGTGTCGGTTCTAACCTTCAAAGATTTTTTAGCATTAGTACCCTTTAAAGCAGCTTTCTTAGCAGCGGAAGGCTTAGATTGAGCTATTATATGTTAGTATTTACTTCCATCTTCGTATTCGAGTTTCCTATAGTGATCCTATTTCAAGACTAAATTACCTGCGAGTCATCTCTAATTTCTACTTTCAACTCTAAATTCCATTTCTCGACCGCTGTCGACACCTTGGCTTATCGTATTCTCTCTACCATCGCTTATTGCGCCAAATTTGTATTTTCCTACTTTCTATTGCTCTCTATGGTTGTCTCATCATCATTACTATTTTTCACCAATATTCATTTACAAATTCTCTTATATCCATGGCTTTCTATTCTCTCATTGATCACTATAATCAAATACTCTTATGATACTGTTCATATAGTTACTTACAGATTGGAGACATTTTTAATTAATCCTAAGTTAGTCCTTAATACTTTGTAAAAAGCTTCAACTTTTCAATTTTTTCAACTGAGGAATTGAATTTTTTGTCTAAATTTTCACACTATAAGAAGAAAGTGTCACAAAAATGAAATTTCAATTTTGTCCTCACAAAAATTTTTCACTCCTGGAATAACCATCAGGTGTTGACAGAATACTCGTAGGGTAAAAGCCCTATGAGCATTTGGTGTTTGGGTGTAGGTCAATAGTAGTGTAGAGTTTGTGATCAAGTACATACCGGCAGACGCAGTCTATTGGATGTGACATTAGATGGTGATAATGATAAGGCCATGACACACAGATGTGAATGGTGAAATGGTGAAATGGTGAACTATTATGTGTATTGTAGATATTTGGCTTAATGGCAGAAGTTGGCGTAGACAGAAGTGGTTGCGGGCTTAAGAGATATGATGGTAGCTCACTACACGATGGTTCAATAAACTATTTTCATTATTATATGATAATTATATACAGAGGAGCATCGGATTGACCGACATATGAAACACTTCTACAAACGACGTAATTTCTTAGGACGCGAACCACCGAACTGTAATTTGGTGTTGTCACTTATTCTAATGATGTTAGGCTTGACCTTTGACCCTTCTTTACCTTGCAACGCGGCCAAGAACGCTTCTCTACCCTTTCCAAAGTCCTTCAAAATCATTTCGATCTTGTCGTTTGGCCCGAGCAAGTTTCTTTCTTCGATTAATTTGAACATTCTGGCACTCACCTGGTATCCGGCTTCGTATTCGGATCTCTGAGCCTTTCTGAATCCTAGTTGACCCGCGGAAACGTGGATCTTGGTGTGGTGTGGTAATTGTAAGTAGTATAACACCTTTTCGTTGTAAGTCAAGTGTTCGTTCTTTTCCATGAAGTCCTGGTCTTCTACCACGGCCACTAACGATAACAAAGTGTTGTGTCTGTGAAACGACCCGTAGAGTTTCCACAAAACAACTTTCTCATTCTTGCGTCCTTTGAATAATTGCTGCTTCATGTTTGGGTCTATGATGTTGGTGATTTGATGCTCTTGAGGCTTATTGGTGCTCATCGATATTGCCTCCGATCTTAACATGTTGCTTGTCGATAACGGTCTAAATGCAACCGCAGGCGCAAGCATCTTAGCTGCTGGTATCCTGCCAGCCAATTTGGTGCTTCTGGATATCATTGTTTGCCCGTTTCCCCTATGGTTTTGTTGCTCTACTCCAACTGGTACTTTTCATATAAACTTTTCACCCAGTCGCTGTTCTCGTAGATTATATAATCACTCCCCAACGGCTTATATAATAAAATTCCCGTCCTTCTCCTGGCCAATTTCCAGCTCAATCCACAATTTCCATGGCTCCCGGCTCAATTCCATGCATCAATGACCTTTCTATGTTCCATGTTGACCCCAGATACTAGATCTTTCATTCGAGTGCAGAAGCGCCCAATAAGCACATTAAGAATAATTTAGTGAAAAGGCCAGACGAGCTAATCACATTTGCGTTTATACCTATTACTTCGTGCTTATTCGGTCGTAGATACCATTACAATTTCAAACCATACGCTAGTATACCGCTTATGGCTCATAGTCATATAGTCGTCTAATTGACCTATTGTTTAATGCAAATTTATGACACACCAAATGTACTGCACATAGTCAAGTCTCCCCCCTCCTCCTAAAACACGTCGCTCTAGAAGATACGTAAACCAGTCTGTTATTACCGTTAAACATCAACACACGATTAGTTAATCAATTGATTCTTTTGATAGAGGAAGAAGATACTCGGTGTTATACAATAAGTGATTGAGTTGGAATATAGAATAATCCAAGAAAATCAGTACCTATCTGGCAGATAACAACACAGGTAAAAAAAAACAACCCCAGTACAACATAAACGCCAGCTGTTTAATTTACAAATATCACCAGATAACGGCCCATTGGACCACGTCATATTCAAAGCATAAACATATTTGGAAGGATAGAAAGCATTAGGCTTGATTATCGATATTGAGAACTGATTAAGCACCATTGGCTAGTCATTCACACAATTGAAGTGTATAACTCAAGAGTAATAAAAGCAATAGAACAGCGAATTTCGAACAGCTAAGTCCCATAAATTGCAATATGAATCATACAGGACTGACTAATAATACATTCAATGAATATGTGTTAGACCAAGTTGTAGAGAATGCCACATTACAGTCGGATAGAATGGTGGTTCGAGAATATAAAAAAATAGGAGAAGGGGCCTTCGGAACGGTCGTAGAGGCAGTTTTGAGAAAAGAGTACAAGAAGGATAGTGAACAGGATAGAGAAGAGCCGTGGCTTGGACCTTATGCTATCAAGAGAGTACCAGCACAGACAGAATACAAGAGCAGAGAATTAGAAATATTGAGAGTTGTAAATCACCCAAATATTGTCAGTTTACGGTTCTTCTTTGATAAAAAGAGCTCATCTGACGGTAAAATCTACCAGAATTTAGTGATGGAATGCTTACCATCTAATTTGCAAAGTGAAATCAAATATTATAGACATTCAAAATATACCATACCTTATCCCCACATGAAGACATACACATTCCAGTTAGCCAGAGCAATGCTTTACTTACATGGGTTTGGAATTTCACATCGTGATATCAAGCCTTCAAATATTTTGGTGGACCCTGCGACAGTCACATTAAAAATATGTGATTTTGGAAGTGCCAAAAAATTAGAACCAAATCAACCATCGGTCAGTTATATATGTTCTCGATATTATAGAGCGCCTGAATTAATTATTGGATGTTCTATTTACACAACGAAGATTGATATTTGGGGTTTAGGTTGCGTAATAGCAGAGATGTTTTTAGGTAAACCTATTTTCCAAGGAGAATCTCCTCAATCCCAATTGAAAGAGATTTCAAAATTATTGGGACCCCCATCGAAGACATTCTTCTTCAACAATAATCCAAAGTATAGAGGAAATATGTACACTAATAAGTTATTCTCGTGTACTGTTGAAGAAAGATTCAAGCAAATCTTCAGCAACTCTCCTCCTGATGCTATTGATTTATTGATGAAAATATTGGTTTATGAACCGGAAAAGAGAGCAAGTCCTAGAAGAGTATTATGTCATCCGTTTTTCCATGAATTGAAACAAGATAATTTCCAAGTCTATCCAAGAGGTTCTTCTGAACCTATTAGATTGAATTTATTTAATTTCAGCAATTATGAACTTGAATTGCTAGGCCCCTTGAAGGATGAATTATTATCTTAATAACCGTAAGAGTTAGAATTTAATTTTTGTGTATATTTATTACTGTTTACGTGAACTCTCTAATGATCCCAATTTTACTTCGATGAAGTGTATGCTGACCTTTTTTTTATTACAGCTTTATTTTTATATTTATTACGGTGGTTACTGATTAACTTTTTGACCTTACTGCACTTTCTGTCTTAGAAATGAATTTGCTTGAATTTGTATTAGTCTAAATTAACTTAAGTCTTATGCTACTTATATAAATTGAGTGAATGTACATCATCTATAATGCTAAACTATAACTATACTCATCTTCAATATTTTGAGATAACCATAATGAAATACAACTTAACATTATACACCCATTGCAGATTATGTTCGAAACACCCATACCTAAGGTTGGAAATCCGTAATGCTTTAACAAAAATTTTAATATGAAGACCATAAAAGAACCTGCCAACCCTCCTGCCAACAACGAGAAACCACAGAATAATATCACCCTTGCAACCCATGCCGTGCTATTCCCATTCGAACTTAAAAACGAATTATTTGAATCATTGAAGAGATTAGCCTTTTCAATTGAATTAACAATCAACATACCCAAAGTAGAACAAATGAATGGAATCCAATCAACAAAAGTAATATGAACTATAGATGCATTAACTGTCTTTGAGTATATAGCGGCATCAATCATGGACCAGAAACCGATTGCGTATAAGGCACCTGCTATGTAAACCCCAAACGATTTCAATTTAGCAGATTTTGGTAATCGTAACAGCGCTGCGTTGAATCTAAACAAATTTGTCTGTTGATCCATAGTAGTTGATAGATATATATTTGTAATATTATGGTAATTGCAATAGATAAATGCTTAGAGGACCCCCCTCGTCTATAATACATATCATTTTCCTCAAATATAAGGAAGTGGTTTTGTGTCACTTCTGAAAAATTGAATGCTGTTGTACTACTATCTACTCTATAGGTTATATGCTGTATAAATAATACACAATTAACTGCTTGCAGGTGATTCGGGTAAACTACTTGCATCGGGGTTCATTTCTGTTGGTTTGAAATATTTGGGATTCATTTCCATTATACTTACAGCCCCATTTTTGCTGCAAGCTGCAATTATTCTGCCCTCATCGTATGTATCAATATCAAAAACAGGTTCACCTGAATTTTCAAACTGGTAAGCTATCTTCTTGGATTGGACATCCCACACCAATATCCCAGATTTATCGGAGCCTGAAATTATCAACGGATCTTTTGTTTTCGTTATAAATTTGGCACTGCAATTGTACGCTTCACTTATGGGAACCTCTCCGCCATCTAGGCCTAAATATGTCTTGATAACTTTATTATTCATGTAGTCCCATAATCTCAATACACCATCTAAACTTGAACTCAATATGTATTTACCATTTGGTGAGAACTCAACGTTTGAAATAGGGAAATTTACAACGTCAGCAGTAGATGCGGTTGCGGTTCCATGACTCGAACTATTATAAGTTAATGTTTTTAAACATTGGCCTGTTTCTAGATCGAACAATCTCATTAAACCGTCATACGACGCACTCGCTATCATTGTGCTATCTGGCGTTAATGCTAATGACAGTACTGGGTCAGAGTGGGCAGCCAAAGTCTTTAAAGTTATTCCTGATATTATATCCCAAATAGTTATAGTTTCATCTGCGGACCCACTGATCAATATATTACCTTTCAGGCTAAATTTTACAGCTGTTACATGATAAGTATGTTTTTTAAGTACTTTGAGGCATTGTTTTTTCTTAATGGACCAAAGTCGAATGGTAAGATCGTCTGAGCATGAGGCTATTATATTAGAGTTAGTTGGCGAAAACTCAATATCCGATATACCTTTTGTGTGGCCTATCAATTCAGCAAGCAATTCTCCATCATTTAAATTGAATACTTTAACCGTCGTATCTGATGATCCTGTAGCAAATTTGGTCCCATCTGGTGATATTTTGATTGAGTTTACTGAATGTTCACCTTTACTTATTGAATACTTTTCTTTATATAAGTCATTCATTGGCAATATAGTTTGTGCCACATAACTATCAGTTGACAACTTCTGTCTCTTCAACGATGATTCAGCCATATCATAATCCTTTTCATGTCATGTATATGTCTACTAATCAGAGTTTTGAACCGTCTTGTTTAGATAACTTGTAGCCTGCATATAAAGAAACATATTATATCTCTTGTAACTCCTCTACCCATGTTGATACAGCGCAGTAGGCATTGCATGTAAGTCTTAGATCTTGTATAGATAATGTGTATAAACTACAGTCTTGAAAGGAAATACCAATGCTTTTCTCTTAAAAAAATGAAGTACTTTGCATTTAAAAAATTAAGCTGTTAATAAAATCATTGAAATTTTGCAACTTTTCCGATTAATTAAGAATTTTAAACTTTGTATATACTTCTATCCTAAAAGTTCACAAGCATATATAATCAAACTATACACCTATTTATACACTTGATTGTCTTGCGATGCGTTTTCAGTCATTTTATCAATCCATGTTTCAAACAAGCTAAATTCAATTTCATCAAATTGCGTAAAAGATTTATTGTTTAAAGTAGCCATAGTTGCAGTATCAGATATGGTCTTTAATGTGTTCAATTTGACATTCAAATTTGAGGGAATAATTAACCTTTGCAACGTAGATCGAGGGTTGTTTTCTGTTTGCTTATCTGCTGGTATTTTTAAGAGTTCCTTCAAAAAGTATTTCATATACTGGCAAAATAGAAGCTTATTATAAGGCGTATTATTTGGCTCAGAATATTGAATGAAACTAACAAGTTTTAGCATATTATCATTAAGGGATACTAATAAATCGTACTGTTGCGTAGACAAACTGCATTTAGAGTCTAGTTTTTGAAACACTTTGTTTAATATTTTATGAAGTTCAGGCTCAATTGTTTTCTTTAAATTCTCCTGCTTTGTGTTTATTTTTGATAAAGATTGATAGTTGAGCTTAGGTAAAGGCGGATCCTTGTTGATTTCTTGTTTATCAGAGGTAGGTGACAAAGATGATTCTCTGGATGACTTCTGGGACATTGTAGGACTAGGAGGGAACTGAATAGTTGGTTTTTCGGAAGAAGAATACTGTATCAGACTGATGTCAAAATGAATTGTTTTCTGTTCGTCTAGTTCTCCTTCATTCCATTTTTGCTGATTGTTCCTTATTTCCGTTGGTACGTAATAATTTTGCTTTATGGTGACGTGGTTCTCTTGATCCCATCTTCGTTTATTTGTTATTAGTTTTTTAACTAATTTTTTTTGGTCATTAACAGATGACGAAGCGTTCGTTATAAATTTATGTTTTAGTAATTTAGTGGCAGAAAATCTTTCCTTAGGATCAATTACAAAACACAGGCACAAAAAATCCTTGAAAGAATCAGAAATTTCAAGATCATCCAAACCTATAAGTTCAGTAAAGTTATTTTCATAATGGCACCTCGAAATTTGTCTTAAGGCCTTCATTGGGGTGAAATGATTTTGCAACGGAGGCTTCCCTGTAAATAATTCATAAGCACAGCAGCCCAAGGACCATATATCTGCCTTAAAGCTATGACCACCATTATTGTTCAAAATAACTTCTGGTGCCATCCAATATGGTGTGCCGACAGTTGTATTTCTTCGTGAAAAGTTCGAAGACAATTGAGTAGAAACCCCAAAATCTGTTAATTTCACCTCCCCTGTTTGGTTTAGCAAAATATTCTGAGATTTCAAATCTCGATGTATTTTACCTTGCTCATGCAAATACTCTAGAGCAATTAGGATTTCCTTTGTGATTATCAGGATTACTTTCTCATCAGTGACAGCCCCAGGTTTCAATAAGTCAAAGAGTGATCCACCGTTTACATATTCCATTATCACCCATAACTTGTAATGTTTAACAAAACAACCATAATATTGAGTAATCTGAGAGAGCCGACATTCTGATATTATCATAATTTCTTTATTAACTTCAAATAAGTCTGTTTGTTCATGCTCCAAATCTATTTGTTTTATGGCTACTTCTTCGTTAGTCGCCTTTATTACTCCTCGATATACTACACCAAATCCACCCCTACCAACCTCTTCACACACTTGTAGTTCATCTGCAGATTGTATCCTTATTCCCATACCAACCGAGAATGAGGAAGAATAAGCTTGATAAAGAACGAACCATTATGTTCTTCTGAAATGTAAACAAGTTAATCGTTATGAGCGCGACTACATCAAATATCAAAAAATGATTTTGAAGAACTAGATGATGTTGTAACTTCTCCATACACCACCTAAATGAATTCAATAAGAAAGGTATGCTTAGGGGGGATCAGGCAAGTCTATTTACGAACAAATACACCAGTAACATCCCAATTTCGAGATATATATAATATAAGGACGTTATCTAATACAAGGAAATGTCAAAATGCAAATTCAGAAGTATTCAATGATGTATTATTAATGAAAGCATTATCTACAAACAAGCAACATAGCGAAAATGCATATATAAAATGCACAATCTTTGATAGTAAAGGTAATATAGTAGTGCATGGAAAGGACATTAGGCGGCTGCAATTTATGAAAACTCATAATTTGGTTCCTAGAGACTTCCGAAAGATAACCAGGCATTATCATGGCAGTAGTGCCGCATCAATAAATAACATAAATGTCGATATTGTGCCATCGATAGTCACCAGAGGAAATAGTATTTTACTTAATTTGTCCAACATAAAAGCGTTGATTAAAAGTGACACGGTAGTGATATTCGACAGTCTTTCAAATAGTTCGGGATCCAGGATGAATGAATCACACTCTCATGGATCGCTTCTTAAAGATATGAACGAGAAATTGAAACCAAAAAAAGAACAAGATGATTTGCCATATGAATTCAGGGCACTCGAATGTATATTAATTCACGTTATGTTGAACTTAACTACAGAGATGAATGTTCATAAAACTGTATTGCAAAATATTCTATCGAGATTAGAGGAATCTATAGAAAGAGTCAAATTACGGTATTTATTAATACAATCAAAAAAGATAGCACAGTTTCATCAAAAAACGACATTAATTAGAGACTTACTCGATAATATACTAGAACAGAATGATGAATTAAATGCATTGTACCTTACTGAAATATCAAAGGGAAAGCCTCGTTTACAAGCAAACCACGCAGAAGCAGAAATGTTATTAGAGTCGTACTATAAAACTATCGATGAAATAGTGCAAACTGTTGAAAATTTGAGATCTCAAATAAAAACCAGTGAAGAAATTATCAATATTGTTTTAGATTCTAACCGTAACGAGTTGATGTTGTTAGGATTAAAGTTTTCCACTGGCTTATTATCGATGGGTTGTGCCTTGTATATTGCTGCATTATATGGTATGAATTTAGAAAACTTCATCGAGGAGACTGATGGTGGATTTGAACTTATTGTTGGAGGAGGTTCTATTCTTTTGTTACTTCTTTTGTTATTCAGCGTGAAACAATTGAAAAAGGTACAAAGAATTACTATGACTGGTATGGGAAGAGAAAACTCAAGGAGATCTAATAAGCGTAATAAATGGTAAATAGATGTACAGGACTAATGACTAATGATTTAATAATATTATACATGATGTTATATACAATTTTTAGATACGTAAATTTATTCTTCGAATTCAATATCTATGTTTGGGGCCAAAAAGCTAGCGCTAGAACTTCTTGTCAGATTGGTATCATCACTCACAGTTTTTTCCCTTATTTTATGTACTTTCAACTCATTTCCACCTGTCTCAAGTGAATTATGTGGTGTATGTCTAGGTGAATTAGAAGGAGAAGGATTTGGCGTAGGCTTAGTCCTAAATGGTCTCAAAGTAAAACTATCTCCTCCATTTAATGGATTGGGAGTCTTTGGAAGAGTGTTAACAATATTATTGTTTGCCAGTGGCTCCACTTTAGGATGTTGTGCAATTTTTTTTACCTGTATGCTTAAGGCTTTCTTTTCATTCTCTTTTTTAGATAAGTAATTTTTTTCGTGTGAGATTAGACTGCTAAATAGTTTAGACCGAACATCAATATCAAGCAAATCCATTAGTATAGTATTATATGTCTTCAACGGAGGCTTGAAGCCAGAAGAATGTTTAACTGGTGACGGCCTTAAAATTAAATGAAGGAATGGAACAGATCCTATAATTTCCATTGAATTCAATTCCACAGCTATATCATTTAATTTTGATTCATCACTCGGCTTTTTAAGTTCGTCAGATATTTCATCGGCATAACCAAAACCGGGTATTTGACCTAGCTCAAATACTTCACATATGTGTTCAATAATATAAATGAGTGAACTTAAATTACTTCTTGGGATTGAGCTTATCAACTTTGCAGTTTCATTTTTTCGTTTGTTTATAGCTTGCTTATCAGACCCCAGCATATCATCCTTATAGTTATTTAATAATGAGTCAAAGACCATACAAGGTATCAATGAGTCACTGATTTCCAATAGCCAGTTCTTGAAAAAGCTGATTAAGCTACTGCTAGGCAATGTACGTAGATAGGAAATAATCCTTCCAGACATGTCCTTATGAATTTCCAATTCCTTTGAAACATCAAGTGCTGATTCAGGAACGTAGACATTCACTCTATTAATAATCAGTTCCTTAATGGACCAATTACATTGATGATCTATTGAACCTAACCAACATTTCTTGACTTCTTCATTATTTTCTTGTTCTTCAATTAAATTAATGATTTGATAAAGGAAAATTGGTAACGACGATATGCTCAATAAACGATTAGGATTTTCTTCAGATTGTGCCAATTGGGGTTGTAATGGTATATCTTTGTATAAATTGAATTGGTATTTCAAATTTTGGAAGTTCTTATTTGACTGAATGGCACCGAATTGATGATTTGCCAAATGATTTGGTGAAATTGTCGAGGGAAAATATATGCCAGTATTAAATTGCTCTAGCAATTTATTAAACTCATGAACATAATTAGCCGATGAGTTAATATTTACAATATATTCAGATGTCAATTTGTGCAATCTTGTAGTCGTTGTTAAGGAAAAATTGTATATAATTTCATGTAGTTTGGTCAAGCTCTTGAATACCATTTCGATTTTCATTTTTTCAAAGCTTTCCAATGCCGATGACTTCTTAGTCACCTCTAGATCAAGCAAATGTTTCAAATCTTGCAATTCTAGATAACTTTCATTATATTTCGCTTCTAAATTTTCTAAGTGTTCAGAATAGTTATTTTTTAAAATTGATGATTTGACACTATTGAATAAACCATTAAATCTTTTGGATGTGTTTTGTGCCATACCATTCATGAAGTTACTAGTAGTATCATCAATAGTTAATTTTGGGATTTTTGTTGTTATTTGCTCAAATTTTTCCGTTTCGGATGAAGCATGGTTTGCAATTAGAACGGCAAGGTCAGACCATTCAAACCACATTCCCTCACTCTTAAACTTCCTAGACCAGATTCCCGTGCCAATTATTAACTTTAAGTCAAGTAAGGATTGCCCGAATTTTTCCATATTCATACGACTAGGATTCAAACCATAGGGTCTCTGTTTCAATAGAAAATCGCATAACTGATCACTACTGAAAATTTCATTTCTGTACCCGGGTAAAGGTATTTTTCTTCTTATTGTTGAAAGAGATGCAATCATCTTTTGTAATAATGAGATTAAATCTGACTGTTTTCTAGCTTTAACTGTTCCAATCACTAATGGAAACTCAAAACCACCATCTAGTAAATCTTCATGTCGTGATGAATTGGAGAATGAATCGTCTACATTCTCTGCAGAAGAATTGGTAACATTATTATCATTAGAAGCCGATAAATTTTCATATACATCATCGCTTTTGTCATTTTGTGGGTCAATTCTAGAAAACTCCTTTAATCTCAAATATTCATCGTATTCCACTTCAATTGCTTCTATCTCCTTAAACGTCGCATCATAATCGCTAACAAGTTCGGCGAATTCTTTCAACGTTTCTTTTATCTGAGGTTCATGCTCTTTTATAAATTCAGTAATACCCTCTAGAATTTCACGATCTATGACAGATGCCAAGTTAATTAGAATATGCGATTCATCTGACATATTCTTAACACAGAGTTCGAACGCATCAGACATGCTTGTAGGATGAGGCTTATTCTTGTCAGAAATATTTTCCGTTGCATTATGTGCTTCATTATGATCAAGTGTTTTTACAGAGTCTAAATGACGCTCAGCCTGAGATACCGTTCTCCTCTGGAAGCCACCGCTAACCTTTCTTATAGCACGATTCTTTGATGGAAACTCTATCGCTTCTTTAGATTCCACAGGTCTAAATCCGCTTTCAAACGAAAATGTTTCAATTCCTAACTTATTCAAATATTCACTGTTAGAATGGAAATATTGCATGTAATTGAATATGAGTTTTCGTAATTCATGAAGTTGTTTTATAGATCTAAGTGATTGCTGAGTCAATTTGTCAATACCTGATTTATAGTCCGCAGACCAATACAAGTTAGAAAACCTATTACTCATTATAATAGCGAGGTGACTCCTTCAGGGTATTGGTGTAAAGCTTTTTAATGTAATGGCATATTCAAAATATATGATTTTAAGTGAAGTGCGCGAAGCATCAATTCAAGCGTGATTTTAACATAAACAACGATTAATAGTAACCTAAACCAGATACTAAGAGGTGAAATGAGTGCAGATTCCTTGCAAAAAGAGATCCAGGATATAAAAGGGGATATTCAATCGCTACATCTGGAAATTGACGTTCTTGATAAGGAATATTTGGCTTTACTAGCACAAGTTAAAGATCTTGAGGAGTCATCGAGACAAACTGATAAACCCTATAATCCACAAGAAACACACGGCTTCTCAAAGGCCAATTATGATATAGATGAACCACGAGTAATGAAAAATAATTGTTTTGATGAGTCAATTCGAAAATATTTTACGAATGTATTGGATGCTGTGGAAGAAGATGGTACAGAATTGGTAACGAAAAGGCAAAAGTTAGACAACATTGCCAGTGACTTTAAAGCAAAATCAGAGAAGATTCTTGAAATGAAACAGAATATTTTGTATGAAAATATATTCAGATTTGGAGGCATTACGGCTTTTCCATTAAATCCATTTTTGTTTGAAGAGAACGATGAAATTATAGGTTTACGTTTTGATATTTTCTCTCATTATGGAAGTAAATTTATTACACCACATTACGTCATACTAAGAAAGATGAAGTATACCGACAAAAGCCAAGAAACAACTATGAAGTGGGAGGTTTACAGGCACACTTTACCAGTCTATATACCAATATCTGAATATAGTGAATGTCTACAAGAAGATGAAGAAATAGCCTTTGCAAAGTTCACCAGCAATATTAGAGGCCATTTAATCCAAGTTCAGTATAAACACGACAAGTTTGATTCTCTTCAGAATATTAAATATGACCATATCTCAAAAAGCGGTCCGACTAAAAGTAAAGCTATTGTAGAGAAACTTGAAAAAGATCTTCAATGTCAAAGAGTAAATATAATCTTACTGAACCGCTTTTTGAATAGCAAAAAAGCTTCCCAAATTAATCTTGTTTGTTCCAATGATGAAATAAAGGAAGCAAGTTGTATTATTGCTGGGGTTGATCCAGATGACAAAACAATTATACAATGTGAAAGTCTATTAAAAAATTGTGACTTCAAGGATTTGATCAGGACTTTCAAGACAGTTACAGGTCATTTAATGAAGAGCGAGAAGCTCTGAGTATTTTCTGGTAAGATGCTATTTCAATTCTCATATTATAGATCTACATAATCTTATAGATAATTTTAAAACATATATTTGAAACGTAAACCACATCAAAAATCAAACTATAGAAAAAAAATAAATTAAGATATACATATAGGAATGAAACAAAAAATTTCTAGATGTACTGATAACTAAATCTACATTTTCGAGTGCACGGACACTCTAAATAAATCTATTTTTAAAAAGCATTACCAAAGCCAGCTCCAGTTGGTTGATAACCTAATCCAGTAATACTTTGATTCATAGCTGGGCCGTTGGTTATCATTAATGGTTGACCAACTGGATTTTCTTCGTCTTCCTTTTCAGCTTCTCTTCTCTTCTGCAAATCATTGTATACTTCATTAAGCTTCTTTTGGTTTTCAAAAGTAACTGAAATTTCATATGGCTTGATAAAATTACTCAAATCATGCAACCACGATAATTCAAGTACGTAATCATATTCAATAGTATCGTAACAGGTATACAACAATGCAACAAAACATTCACGATTACCTGTTTCAACAAAGTAGTCTAATAATTCGTGGGCAATCTTAGTCGACTTTGAAACTGCTGCTGTTTTGATTAAGTCGGCCCACAATTTATCGTTCTTCAAGATAGAAATTGATTTAACGAATTTCTTATTCTTGGTATATAATGTTGCAGAAATTTGTCTGAAGAAAATAAGATCATGATTTTCTAATCTCTCAGCTAAATCCAATGAGTTGAATCTATTATTAGATTCATTTTCGATTGTTGATCTCAAGGACTTATAGTCCTCTTCTTCAATTAATAAATCATGGTAAGCACCGTTGACAACTGAATTGTTCTTATCTAAAACAGATATTAAGAAAGGCTTGATTAATGGTAAATTGTCAGATTTAACGAACATTCTAACCACTCTTGGCAAATCAAGCTTAGGAGTTAATACTGATAACAAATCAACTAATAATGAAGGATTTTCATTGATGTAAAAGTTAATAGCCTTGTAATAAATCTCCAAGTTTGATGCTTTGACAATAATTTCCTTGAAAGAGGAATGATCAAATGCAACTTCTGACTTATCAATCATAGTCAAAGCAGCATTATCCCATTCTTCATAATGGCAGTACAAGAAAATCAATTCTGGATACAAATGGGCTTCCTCACAAGCAGTTAAAACTTTTGGAATATTGATTCTGGACCAGAATAACTTCAAGTGTTCCATAACTTTTTCAGGACTATACTTAGCATACAAAACAGCCAATTCGGTAAACATACCCATGTGCGCTCTTTCTAAACCTAAACCACTTTCAAAGAGAGCAAATAATTCATTGAAATAACCATTCTTCTCATAGAGCTTGACTAATTCAGGAAGTTCTTCGGCATCGATAATCAAATTCAAACCACAAATTTGAGCCAATCTGAATTCTTTATTTTCAATACAGGCGTAGTTAACTTGCTTCCAAACACTCGTGTTGGATGCTTTTCTTGCACAGTCAACAGCTCCTTGATAATCCTTTAAGTAAACTAAGGTAGTCGCTAATTTAGAATACTTAGAAACATTTGAATATAAAATTTTAGCTGCTTTGTAGTTCTTTGCCTCAAACAATTTATCACCAATAGATTCCATATCGGCAACATTTGGACCGCTTACAAATTTTTCAATTTCGTTTAATTTACCAGCATTAGCGTAACAGTTAATAAGAGCACCATCAATAGCACTTTCTCTTAAAGTTTCTCTGGCCATATCCAAGAATGGAATCAATTCCTCTTCTTTGCCAGCATGCTCAGCAATTTCAATGACTTGTTCAAAATTGCCCGGGTTTTTAGATTTAACATAAGAGTCAATAGCTTCGGGAATACGCAAACCATTTAATTGAGCAGTACCTAATTGGTACCACAATTCAGATACATCGTACTTTTCTGCATATTGTTCACCTCTGTCTAAAGACATAATATCATCTACCAATACCTTCATTGCATCTGTTCTTAATTCGAACTTATCGTAAACTTCAAATGCTTCTTCATATAATTGGTTGTCAATACACAATGGGGCAATTTCTTCAGGATCAAATTTATCTAATTTTTCGATATAACCCATTACACGCGAACTGTCAGCTTTGATAGCTGTCAAAATTAACAAACCTTGCAAGGAAGTATTATCATTGAAAGGAGATGTTTCCAAAATAATCTTCTCCAATAACTCGATTAATTCGTGTGGTAAATCATTTTCCATAAATGCCTTAACGGTTATTGAAATTGGTTCAGGATCATCTAATTCAGGAATACCTGTTGCAATAACTTGATCGACTAATTGTCTTCTATGACTATTTTCTTCTGTTAAGACCTTATTCCATAAATCGAAATCCGACTTTGCCAACAAGTATCTTGCTTGATATTTATACATCTTATTTTCATTTGTAATGTTTATCAATTCATCGTTATTTCCACCTTTCGAGTAACAGATGTATGCTAAGTATGGATCTCTCTTCTCACAATATTTACCAACGGCGAGAGTATCATAGTTTGTGTTATCTTGTAAGAACTTTTCTGGATTATTATTAGAATCAATATAGATCTTGGCCAAGGTATTGAAAACTTCTTGATCAGTTGAACCACCTTCTAATGTCTTTTCTAAGAAAGGTAATAAGATTTTGAGTCTGTTTCTCTTTTCAACTTCAGCAACTAATTCCTTGATAGGAACACGTCCTAAAACAGATATTAATAAACCTTTGATGATATTTTCATCACAGTCTACATCTAATAAACCTGCAATTACTTGAGGTGTATTGGATGGGTTAACTTGTTGAACATAAACTTCAATAAATTTAAAGTACTTGTTCTTGTACAAGAATAAGATCAAGTCGTGAACAAAATTGAATCTGTCACAAACAATAATTAAAGGTAATTGATCTTCTAACTTAAATTCCTTCAAAAAGTTTTTGACTTTTTCACCACTGTAAACGTTGTTATCCCTGACGACTCTTTCAATCTCCTTAGTCTGATTCATTTTAGCAGCACACTGAATGTACTTGAAAACAACATCTGGGTCTTGAGTTAAATTGACGATAGAAGACAAATAATAATAGGCACCTTCGTTACATTTATAGTCTTCAAAAATTTTAATTAAAGTCAATGGTCCAATTAAATCAGAATATTTTGTAGCAACTTGAATTACAATTTGAAGATTTTGTTGAGGATTGTTACTTAACAATTCCTTCAAACATGCAACAGACTGTTGAACATTTAATTGACCAAAATAAGCAACTAACCAGTCATTTGGTAAGACATTAGTATGAACAATAACTCTCTTAATATCTTTCAAATCATCATAATGTTCTAAAGCCCTTTGGAATAAACCCGATTTTTCACATAACTTACCAATAGTTGGCTTGTCATAATGACTGAACATATTATTGCCCAAAATGGCATCAGCAACCTGTGGCGCATGCAACAAGTTAGTTTCTAAAACCTTGGTTTGTAAGTGTCCTTCTGCTGGTGAATCATTTTTCAAAGCGTCTAATAAGAAAGCAGTACCTTGTTGAATGTAATTTTGCGAAAAGAACAAGTCAGCAATGTTTTCAATCTTCAAGTTTGTATCTGGAGAAGCTAATAATGATGTTGCGAATTCGCTTGCCTTATCAGGATTAACCCTGACCAAATTTTGTATTAAATTTGTATAGTCAGGTTTGTAACCAACTTTTTCACAATATGGCATAATCTTGTCAAATTGACCTAATTCAGCCAAACAAGAGACGACCTTAATATTAACATTGGCTCTAATGTAGACTGCTAACGCAAGACCAGCATCATTATAAGATTTGACAATGTCACCCAATTCCTCTGAAGATGTCAACTTGTCTTCCTTCAACCATTTTTCGAATAATGGCTTACGATCTTGCTGCAACACAGGCTTGGCCAACTCAATGGATTCATATTTATTCAATGTACCTCTGTCCAATAAAGTAGAAAAGTACTGCAAGATTGGTGAAATTTGTCCAGGTTGAGGGGTGATATGCTTCAACTTGTTGATAGTATCTTGAGTACGTAATTGTTCAGAAGATGCTGCAACCTTTGCGGCATTAGTGTAATCACCTTGGTTTAAATAATTCTGGAATTGTTGGGTGAATAAGTTTTCAGCTCCTGGGAACCCACCACGAGATGAGAGAGACAATGCTAATGGAACATTAGATAATTTCTCCAAAACATATGGAATAATTTTAGATTGAGAAATTTCGACACTCAAAACTTGTCCAGATTTGTTGATCGTTATAATACCCGTACCGTCGTTATAAGGTGCTGCAGTGAAAACTGGGTCAGCAGTGATTCTATTAACAAATAAATTGGAACCTGTTTCCATATCATATAAATGAATAAAACCATACTTCGTTAAAATGTAGACAATACCATATTTGTCAGAAGCCTGTAAACTAATTGGAAAATCATTAGTGGCATCAGGTGGGAAGAAAATATCAACAGATTTCTTGGAGAATTCTGGATTACCTTCTACGTGGTCAATTTCAATAATATGTAAATTACCTTGACCTTGAGCATTTTTGTTACCCACACAGAAGACTTTAGTAGGATGCAAAGCACCATTTAACTTGACTTGTCCGAATTTACAAACATGACCTTCAATTGCTTGAGACACATTACGTGACTTTGAAAACAATTGGATATGACCAGCAATACGGCCATCTTCCTGAGCTATACCAGTCACCGCAAACCAGTTCAATTGAGGTTCAGCAACAAAGTTTATGATTTGACAATTATTTAATGTATGATGTCTGTCGGTCAATTTAACTGGACCGTCATTGCTGCCGTCAAATATAGACCAAGTATAGATACTATTAGCCGTAACAAGACCCAAGTTTTCGTTGTCTAACCATTTCCAGTAGACAACAGCTTGGTCCATTGTGAATGACTTCAATCTTTGTTTGGTACCCAAATTGAAGATTTGCAATGTGGTACCATTGGCCCGCAAGGATATAACAAGCTGACCTGGATGCAAAATTGCACTATCGGCACTCATATTCTTTCTGGTAACAGCATTGTTGTTTTTCAAGTCGATGATAGCAACCGTATTCCCCAGCGGTCCTTGTTCTCTAACACAGACGTAGTGATCCGATTCAAGTGTCGTAGATCTAAAATCAAGTGAACTTTGTTGAATACCCAATTCTGTCAACTGAGTTAACTCAGTGAAATCAATAGGGATATCATTAGACATTTTAATTAATTTCTATTCCTATTAAATATAAGTAAAGTCTTGAAAATTTATCAAATACTTATGAAAAAAGGGGTAGTTGAAAAATCGTTGTTAACTTAAAAACAAGAAAAAAAATAAAGTATAATAAAATTATCAACTATGGCGATTGATTGATTGATTTGATTGATAATAATTATATAGGAATTCTTGTTCAATTGATAACTATTTACTATATACATAAGTTGTTGACCGGGTTGATCCAATTCGTCCACGCTGGCAAACGACCAAGGCTCTGATTACATAATCACAACAGGAATTATACAGTATCAACAACCACCCATGAAATGAAACCACCCAGTTAAGAGAAACATGGCAAAAAAGAGAGTAGAATACCACAGGGAGGTTATATTGGGGGTCGCACCAATTGTAGCACGTCTTCCACGATTTTATTGATGTAATTTGAAGCATTGGTATCGGTTTTGTAGTTTTCGAGATATTTCTTGACGTACTTCCAATCACTTCCATACCAGTCTCCCGTGAGCATGCTTATTTCCAATTGCCTTCTATACTCCAAATCGTTATCAATAGCGCAATCCGAAGAAGTGTTAAAAATGGTGTCTTGTTCCCAGTCGATAAGCCAGTAGCCGATTTTGCGCATTGCAATTTTGCAGTAATCAGGAGTCACGAAGAGTCTATCGGTGTCGTGTCTCTTCCAGGCAACCATGCATTCAGCTAGGTCCCGCATTGCATCTATAGTTCGAGTGGACAATCTGGTGTGTATAGGAGCAAGTGAACATAGTCTGTGGTTTCTTGCGTGGACTATTAGCGAATAGATGTATCCCTGGATTTCGGGAGATGCATATACTTGGGGCCTGGTAACGTTTCTGATCTCGAGAATTAGCCCAGTGTAGTTATCGCAGTATTCGGGTTCCTCCTTCTCGTCAGTGGGTCCTTCATAGTGGAAGTTTTGTCCAAACCAAAATTTCTCCTTGACATATTGGTACACTTCGGGATGTGCATGCTCTGATTCAATCAAAGGTACAATTGTGAACAACTGGGGCTTCCGTACTACATAGCTTCCGACTTGCACTCTGTTCAGCGGATTTTTCCGTGCAATAGCCGTATCGTATTCGTCAATTTGATTCAACAAGGGAAAAAGTCCTACTTTCTGCTGCTTGTGCGACAACTTCTCCATATTCTTCCAAATAACCACGTTTCTAAACGTATATTCGTTCATATTTTCGTCCCAATATATCATCTGCCGTATTAGCAGATCAACAGAATTATTATCTAATTCATGCTTTACATCAACTTCGCAGATGCCTTCTGGATCGAATTGGCATGACTCTTTTAGCAAAGCCCGAAACAATAAAACAGTATTTTCATAATCGTTGGATGTAAGAGCGAATCTCCTTCTACCAATAAATGACAATGAAAGTGCAGTATAGACGTTATTCATGACATAGTGTATACTGCTCTTATCGATAATACAGTATTATATATTAAGTGAAGGATTAAAAATGTCGCAAATGTATAAGCCTATATACGACATCATCAATCGCGACATACGCGTCGGTAAACTTTTTTTTGTTATTATTTCGATCTTGAAATCATCATTCCTTTGTTAAAAAAGGCTTTTGAAAAGAAAAACAAATAGCCATTGGAAGTACTAGAGCTGACGTACAAACGACAAAATACTAGTTTTATAATAAGGAATTCGTGAAAAGGGTTTGCTAAATTTCCAAATCATATAGATTAACGAAAGATACTTGATCGAAAAACAAAGCTATAGCTATTTTTTTTGGTACAAACGAGGATCAATTTAAAGCTGTGATTGCACATTTAGCGCTGCTAATGGAACCAAAATTACAAACGTTACCGCAATACTTTAAGACGGAAACCTCACCAATGATTCAACATTCGGCATTTCCACCGTTTAAAATCGAGCATAGATACAGAGGAGTTTATGAGAGGGCAGGGTTTGATGTTAATTTGAAAGGGGATTCACCGACATCGGAGATGAGATCCATGAAATCTCCTACGATGCTGAGATTTCCTCAGTCTTCGAATGGGGTGAAGTCTTCTAATTCTAGTGCACATTCTGTTGGTGGTTCAATGAAAAATGACTATGTGGTTCCTGGTTCAGCGAAAACAACCAAATCGTTTGGCGAGCTTCAAAAGCGGACACCATACCCTGTTTATGAAAATAGAGCACATTCTGAATCAGAACCAAACACCAGCAATCTCTCACCCGTATCTCCTGATGGAAAATCTCCATCATCCATCAGGTTTCACGAGGTGCCCCAAAATGCTAGATCTGTAAATCCTGAAATCCCGGTGGTCCAAATTCAACATTGTGATACAGCAGAGAATACAGAATTGCCACCGCCTAGTAATAATGGCTTTACATTTATGCCTTCATCGACTCAAAATAAAAACCTAAAGAATTTATCACTTAATTTGAATGATTCGCAGTCCAGCAAAAATGATAATTCACAGGTTAACGAAAATGACGACGATTCAATTGAGACCGAGTCCTACGATACTACTAGTGAAACATCTTTTAATAATCACTATAATCAGATCAATGATGTCGGGTCTAAGCGTTCAAGTCAGTCAAGTATAAAGACTACTGAATTAATAACCTCTTCACTGATGCAGCCGGGTTATGGGTTACCATCACCACCTCCAACCTCGAAAAGTTCTGAATTGCAAACTGACGACTCCTTGATTAAGAAGCAAAGATTATCCTCAGCTTTAAATGAGTTTAGGAAAGACATTGAAGATCATAAAAATTACGTACCAAAAACTCCATCAGTACCAAATACCCCAACGTTTGGAGAAGCGCCTCAATTACCAACGTCATTACCACCAAATAAGGCATTTGGCCAAATTGATGTTACTCAAAATTCAAGTAGATTCTCGTACAATCAGAATTATGTGAATAGCGCTAATGATGTTTCATTGACGAAGAATATATCCCTGGACCAGAATATTGATCCATCCAATCAGTTTCAAGATTTTAGAAATCAACAACTAGCTGCAGATACTCAATTAAATGATGAATATCAAAATTTCTTACAATCAGGCAACAAAAGTCAACCTAGAGCAAGTCAAGTATCTATGGTCAGCTCAATTTTATCTAAAGATTCAGATTACGAAATGGATGGTGGTGCCGACGAAGAAATGGAACGCCAGTTACATGCTTTGAAAATGGGTGAAAACTACGACGACAGTACAGTAAATGAAGCTGTTAGCAGTGACATACAACACCAGAAAGCAGATTCGAATGACAATATAGATATTTCTTCATCTTGGGATACTATTCCAAAGCGAAAGTCTAATGTCATAACAGCAGCTATTCCTACAATCAATATTCAAAACATAGATGAGGATGATTCCCCAGTAAGTGCTAACAATTCTTTTGAAAATAATGACACTCAAGATTGTACATGGGAATCAATAAAGCCATTATCAATAAATAATTCTGAAAAAGAGCAGTCAAATGGAGCTTCTCATAATGGAGTTATTGAAAAAGAAATTAATGTTGATGATTCTAATGATGGTATTGAAGTGAAACCTTTATCACCCAAGAACCACCTTGTGGAAGAAGAGTTGAGAGATATGAATTTTGCAGTGCAGGAAGTACCAAATTCTGGTCAAAAGAATTACAATAACGAGAGAGAAATTCAAGACCATTCTTTCAAATATCCATCTGGTAAAGGTCCATGCCGTGTATGTCAAAAAGAAATATCTCCGATTAGTAAAGGACCTCAAAAATCTGTTTTTTCTAAGACTGGAGAGTTGTCTGGTCAATGGCACAGATCATGTTTTACATGTGCCTATGCTGGATGTACAGTCAAATTCAGTAAATCTATACAATGTTATGTTTATGATGATAATGCATTTTGCCATAACCATTATCACGAATTGAACGATACATTGTGTCAATACTGTTCAAAAGGAATTGAAGGGGAATGTGTCGAGAATGAATTATATCAAAAGTGGCATTTGCATTGTTTAACATGTCATCAATGTAAATGTCAAATAAATAAGGATTATTATTTAATTAATGGGGCATGCTATTGTGAAGAAGATGCCTTGAAAATCATTAAAGGAGGCAGCTCATACGAAGATCTGAGCGGCAACTTGAAAACAGGTGGATTAACGACATCGGACAAGGTGGAGAAAAGGAGAACACGGATTATGTATGTAGAATAAGTTTATTGAATTCTTTTTTCAGATCTACTGGAGTTTTTAGACTTGATTTATTGTGTATATTTGCATGTTTGTTTTATAGTGTTATTCTTATAGAATACATGATTAATAAATTTACAGCTTGATAGAAGAAAATTAAATTGCTAATGAATTGTATTTATAAACCTAATAATCTCTATAACCTTTCGTAGTTTGTTTCGAAATTTTCGAAATTTCTCCTAATCCCAAGTCGTCTACATCATCATTTTCATCTATTTCAAATCCATAATCCTTATTCTGATCTTTAGTCTGATCTTGAGTATTTTTACTAGCGGTCACATAGTCTGGTCCTGTTGTATTTTCCTCTTCTCCCTCATCTTCGTCTTCAATAATAAAATTATCTGCATCATAATCAGCAGAATTCAATTCCACATTATTTGCAGACTCAATATCTTCAAAATTACCAAATATCATTGCATCATCACGAGGAATGATACCTCTTTGATGGTAAAATTCTAGCTTTCTCTGCATTTTATTGTAAATTATGTATGTTGTTAACGACGAGGAAACGATCGTTATTATGATACTGAGTATATCAATTAAATGGGTAGACTTACCTTTCGTGTCATCCCCCAAATCTTTTATTTTATGTCCAACAAAGATATGAATCATTAATTTAGGAGAGGTGATCAATGATGCCAAAAAATAAGTCGTCGCTGGTAATTCTGGAATAGCAGCCAACGCACCATTGACAAGGAATAAGGTAATGGACAAAGTCTTAATAATATCAATATGAAAAGACTTGAATCTTCTCGCAATATCTCTGAAAATGCCCTGAAACTCTTATTTGAATTCATAAGTCTCTCTGCCCTACTATGAAGCAAGTATCTGAAAACAAGGAAGGAACAAAATGATCCTGAAATAGATGCACACGCCAACAAGATCCAGCCATGCAAAAACCCGTAAACCATGCCTGTCAACATAGACAAAGCAGAAAAACCAAGCAATGGCGGGAATCCAACCATAAATATCAACGTAAAGAGCAATGGCTGGCCAAATTTCAATTCGTGCCACTTATCAGATACGATTACGATTCCATGTATTATTGACTTATGGAATATCATGACTAAAATTATGACAATAGTATTAAGCACAAAAAGCACCTGTAGCAACGTACGCTTCCACAACGGCAGATTTTGATACCAATCTAACGTCTGTTGTCCAACATTTCTCATAAGATAGAGTTTATCCTGGATAGTGTCGTTTATTCTAGACATCAAATTACTGCTCTGAGGAAGTTCATTCTGGCCTTGGAACGGATCAGAAGAAGAGGGCAACCGAGGCATATCAATTATTCTCTACTGTTGTTATTTATAGCAAATATTGCTGTCTCTATAAGTTAGGATATGATATTAAGCCTACTGGTTTTGTCCTGAGTATAGCTTCTATTACATTTGGGAGTCATGTGCCATGGCCCATACGCCTAAATATTAAAATCAATTTTTTTCATTTATCTACCACTAAAGTAAGTAATAGAGACTTACATTCTGATAGTCTCAGTATGCTATGAGAGCATAGTCAGACATTTATGATGCAACATTTCATAAGTAGTTGTTATATTCCGATGTTTCTAATAATAGTCAAAGTTAAGTGTGCATCCTGGAATGCAACGAACAAAAAAAAATT